GTTCTGCTAAATGGGGCAATGATAGGGAAATGAGTTGTGTTCCTAGCGGAAGTCTACAAGTGACATGTTTCCCGAAATAACCCTATTAAAATTAACGAACAATAANTACGATTCTGAATGGAAGTCGAGTGCGGGGGCGCATCCCTCAGACGGGATTGATCAACGCCAGAAACTTTATCCTTTATCCTTTATGCTGTATTCCACAGAAACTTATCACTAACTTAGGTGACGTAAAAGGAGTTCTCCATTTTGAGTATCTCACGTAATTGTAGCATTTTTCAAAAACAATAACAATTTTCATAGTTTCTTAGGTACTTAGGTTACTGTAGTTCATACAAACTTAATATCAAGTCAAGTAATGTAGTGTATTTTAGGTAATTTTGATATCTGACAAAAGTTATGCATTTTTCTTCATTTCGGGGAATCATTTTTAGGCTACAATTTAATACCACATAAAACTGAGCCTACAAAATGGCACCAGAAGGTACGTAAGGAAGTAAACAGAGGGAGGCGGGATCGATGGGTGAATGAAGGATCAGTTCTAGAACCAGGTACATAATTGTTGGGTTGAAGTTCCGACAATGGAATTTATTTAATTATTTATTTTTTATGGGCTCAATGTGCGTCATAATCAAAACACAAGAGCAAAACATGGTAGAGTTAGAAAACACAGAAAGACTCGTATATTGGCCCATAAGTCATACAAGAAATGAACAATTTTTAGAAAAATATCTCTCAGAGTAGATACCTAAAACTTGAAAAATTGGTAAACTCGTCCAGAACCAAGCGTTTGTTCAGGAAGGTCGATAGATAAACTTATTTAGGATCGAGCCTGTATTCCGAGAGTTTCCTTGAGCAAAGGTAGTTGTCGTCGAATGTGAAGTAGTAATTTATTGGATGTGAAGAGTTCTGGTTTTGAGAGTCTTAAATACCTAGACATACTATTTCGACAGCTGGGTAAGCAAGGAAGGGCGGGGAGAGGGGAAAGGGAGTTGACCGTATGGTTTCGGAGATGCTTCAGACTCCCTCCGCGAATCCTCTGGGGCCACTACGATCACGCTCACTCATGCTCCGCCCATCCCAATATTCCAAGAGCTTGAGGATTTTTTACTTCAAACTGTACTTTAGGGCTATCCTATCGGAAATAATGAGTAGTTCGTGGGATATCATTTGAAAGAATGTCGACAAAGACTCCGCTAACCGTTTAATATGTAAAAGTTGTTGATGGAAATTCAATGCAGTGAAGCGATGATTGGGAAATAATGAGGTCGTTTTCTATGAAATTTTCTGAGAAGTTTCCGGTTGAAAAGATTGAATTCCACGATTTCAAAACAAAATTATTGAAGCGCATCGAACGTTCATTTCGTTTCAGAAACGAGGGGAAGTAAGCTGAGATACATAATGGGATCATTGTGTATTACGCTACATTACACAAAACCGAAAAAAGAAAAGTCGATGTACAAAGTCACTACAATGTCATGATTTTCTCCAGTTTTGTAGGCTAATGGCTTCAGATCTGGACTGAAGGGAAATATTTTTCGAGGGATGTTGTAAGCACTGTCATTAATTTAATAAGAAGACATCTGATCTGTCTATGATTAGCTACCTATCAGTGATCCTACTTATATATCTATGAATACTTTTTGGCTTATTTAGTTGTAAAGCAGGGATGGAACACGGCTAGTAGCAGGGGCTGTACGAATTCAACGTAGTACTCGACCGCTTCCCTACTCCTTTTGAAAAGTACTGTAGGATAGCAAAAAGAGTAGTCGTAGAATCGTGAAAAGTAATGATTTGTTGGGTCTAAGGAGTTCCCGATCCGAAGGGTATAAGTATTATATACGCTATATACTTGTATACTACAGCGGCAAAGAGAATTCAACAAAAAGAAATGAGCCTGTACTGCGCGTCACTGGTAGGTTTCAAAGTCAAATGCGTCTCTCTGTGCCATCTTGAAAAGCGTTCACTTGAAGGTACCTTGAACATCGACTGTGTGTCAAGCCAAGTTGTTTATCTGATGAACCCAACTCAAATTTAGCCAATGCTCCCACCTACTCGGCCCCACGACGCAGCAGGGCAGTTTAGTCACCTGCAAAGAAACTGGGGAAAAGGTCGACGATGAAGTTCACAGGCAGTTGGTGAAGCAGGTGCGCATACCATGGGTTAAGTTTGAAGAAATGTGGGATGGTATAATCCAGCGGTTAGGGGATCACATGGGTACATCCCAGGTATTTCATAGAGTATTTCATAGAGGAGTAGAAAAGAACCGAACAAACAACCTGAAGAGTAGCACTACTTAAACCTAAGTGGTCATCGGAGTGTGCCACGCCCTCCCCTGTCATCTGTTAAGCAGGGTGTACAGACACACTATCTGGGAGGTGAGATGGTGTAGCGGTGCTCATAGGAATAATTGATGAATGTCCACACTGTACTTAGGAAACGTATCACTATCCAAAATGTCAATTTACTGAGGAAAAGTGCTCAGTGAAATCATTAGAAGAGACTTCCCCCGTTCACCATCAATACATTAATAGGAATGGCTGACTACAACAATTTTCTCTGTTCTGCTAAATGGGGCAATGATAGGGAAATGAGTTGTTTTCCCGAAATAACCCTATTAAAATTAACGAACAATAATGTGCAAGGAATTCATTATCGAATCTATCTTGTCACTTCCTGGCTTTGAATTGTTAGCGCTAGTTAGTACTAGTAATTCTGTGTAGTACTCAGAAATACCGAATTCAAATCGTCTGTATAACCTTGCGCTGACCAGCCCATGTGCCATAATCAGTCTGGTACCAAATAACCGACCCTGGTGAGATGGGAAGCAAGGTTGGGCTGAGAAAATGTCTGTCCCTGGTTAATCCTTGGACTATACTTGTAATGAAGCATCATTTTGACACTAACCACTTCACCCCGAACACTCATATCCCGTTATGGTTCTGGAACTCCCGTCACCAGCTGCAATCGATCTCCGCCCTCAAAACTACTTAGTTAGACTGTCACAACGACCGTCCGTATAGTCATCCTATCACTAAATGAGGGCGAGATCGAGACTAATGGCTTTCAGCTCCGATGGGCTCTATTTGATTAGCGAAGTGCGGCTGGCGAGATTTTTAATGAATGGAATAAAACTCCATGTATTGTTTATAACCTGCGATTTGCCGCTCGGATAGGCAGGCCTTTGATTGTACTTTTTTCTTCGGGAAAAATATATGGCTGCTCATTGTTCATTAGTCATATATCCAGACTAAGCTAATTAGCCGCTTAACCTCACAATGTACTCTCTGAAGCTTCGGTAGATTACAAAACACTTTCAAGTTTGGTGGTAATTGAAGGGCATTTCCCTTTGAACCAATTCTTTTTTTAAAGAAAATTGGATTTATTTGACATTCTTCACATTTTTGTTGAAGATTGTTTGAAAATTCCCATTCTCGCTCAACAGGAACAGAAAAAAGGAAGTGAGGGTTCCCGTTGGCTTCAAAGGTAGATCTTCACCGAGTGGGGAGGAAAAGAGAGAAGAAACGTTAGGGTCGGTCGTAAGAGGTCGGACCAATAGGACAAGGAAAAGGTAGTTGTCAGCATCAGTAGACGACTCCTAAAAGTACGAGCATTAAGGCCAACTTTATCTCTACTCCTTCTTTTTCTATACTCAGGTGGTCTTAGGCTTCTCCCTCGACGATCTAAAGAAGTATGCTGGTGACTACTGTCTACGGGTACGTTCTCCTTGGAAAAAGCCTTAGAAAAACAATGGTTTCATGAACACTAGATAAGTTACTCATTCGTTACCACAACTACCGTAACTCACTGAATCAGAATTAGTCGCCAAGTAATCTTCGCTTGTTTTTACGCTTTTCAATTTCTTGTTTATGTAAACAATATAGACAAATCTCTTTCAAATGCAGCAACTCTAATGAATGAATGCAGTAATTTACACAAACATGAGTAATTAAGAGGTGAGTGAGCGGAATGGCTTGACTTTCGACGTCGACGTTCTCCCTCAAAGGCAACACCAACTCCGTTTTTTGCCTGTCGGTTCCATTTCCAACATTAGCGCATCGTATAAATGTTGCTCTTCGCGTTTTTGTAAACGCCTGAAAAAGAGTAAGTTTGGGAAGTACGAGAAAGGAACTGGTAATCAAGGATGACTAGATTGTTGTGCTTCCCCAGGGGAAGAAAATGTAAAAAAAAAAGAGTGAAGAGGAAAATGACTATTGAGGACTGATCTAAGAGTCATTTTGATCATTCACCACCTCTCGCAAACGAAAACTGTTCCCGAAGTCCCCTCCTATGAGGGTCCGTTCAAAAAAAGCCACATGGACCTCTGCTGGGCGATATGCGGCAGAAATAAGGCACAGCAAGGGCCCGGGAAACAGGTGTTGAAGTTCACTACCGTCTCACTCTCCCAAATAAGGACGAGTTTTGAGGCTCTGTAGCAGCTGACATCATTCAAAAAGGAGCACATGTGTTCTAAAACCAGCTATCTCGTATATGCTGAGAGCCAGCTAACATAGATTGCTCTGCAGTGATCGAATTCTCTTCGAAACGCCCTCGGCGAGTTCATAACCTCGACCTTCTTCACCCACGACTACAGAAACTTCTACCTAGTTGAGTCAACATCCACTAACAATTGAAAGTGCCATTCTGAACAATTGACAGTAACTTACTCAGCTATTGACTTCATACAATAATCGATTCCGTATCCTGTATAGGCACTAGTCTCATAGAAAGGCATATCGAATTCCTGAAACATTGAAATAGTTCTGAAAAGTGCTGATTCAACCGGAAGAGGAAAAATGTAAAAAGAAGAATGGTAGGGGTCTGTTCCATTTCACTTTCACCTCACAAGGTGAGATTCTTTTGAAAGTTCCTGAGGGTTGTTCTCATGGATCGAAACCGATTAAAGGTGAAGAAAGATGAAAAAGAAATTACGATGGGATTAAATTGAAAGGGCCTAAATAAGGATGGAATTCGAGCGTTCAGACCCCATAAACCGGCCATTTTGTGAGACACCTTCAGCTGAACTGATGGGACGAAGCACAACTTATTGTTTGCGAAAATTTTATTTTTTTGATATATTGGTTGTATGGGAAAGCCGTCGAAAGCCAAAAATCTTAGCACAAGATGCCGCCAGTTCCTTCATTTCGGCATTTACGTGATGTTACTCGAACCAATTGGCCTCTTGTAACTAAACAAGTCTGTCTTCGAAAAACTCAAACTCACATCGGCAAGTTTCTTGCCCGCTTTGTACACAGTATTCCTTGAAGAATCGCTACCGAATAGATCA